GCTGCCCTCCCCCAGCGCTCCGGCCGGTCGGGGACGAGCGGAGAGCTGCGGCTGGCTTGCTGCCCTCCCCCAGCGCTCCGGCCGGTCGGGGACGAGCGGAGAGCTGCGGCGGGCTTGCTGCCCTCCCCCCGGCGCTCCGGCCGGTCGGGGAGAGCGGAGAGCCCCGGCCGGGCTCTCCGCCCTCCTCCCGGCGCTGGGGGGGGGTGGCGGGTGGCTTTTCTGCCTAGGGCGGCAAAAAAGCCAGAGCCGGCCCTGCTGGGTTCTATACTCTCTTCTGCCACAATTCAACTGCATTACCTTGGGTGACTCCATTAGCTGCCTCCGGTTCCTAATCTGTAAAATGGGGATAATAATATCTAACTCACTAGCATTTTATGAGGCTTAGTTCACTCATGTTTAGAAAGTGCATTACGATCCTGGACGTGTACCCTCTTGCGCTCTGTTTATCTTATGTGTATCACTACAGTCCTAATAGATAGGTAGAGCATGAATGATAGACAGTGATTGTTTATCCATGTGGCCATGCCATCATTTCATAAATGCTTCCATTTATTTTACTCACAGAAAGTCCTCCCCAGAAGGGGTACCCTCCCATAAAAGAGATGGGAATGTAGGTTTGGATGAAAGCTGCAGAGAGACCCCCAAAGCCAATGTGCATCAGCCCAATCAGGATCTGGATGGCCTGTGGGAAAACAATGGGGTAGTAAGAGGAGTCACCTTGTGTGTCCTGAGCAGAGCTTATTGGAAACTGGAATTTTCATCCTGTGCGAAATTCTGATTTTTAGACAGTTGTTTTAATCTGAAATCTGAAAACTTTGTTTGGAAATGTTTCAACATTTCGTTTCAGGTTGTCAAACCTACTTGAAATATTTAATTTAGGCTTGGTTAACAATGAGCTGAATCCACCTGAGTCAGTGCATTGCGTTAGGGGAATTGTAGTTGGGGTGCCTCGTGACCCCATTCTCTTCTATGGTTTAGACTTCCTAGCTGGACTACATCTCACATGTGGAATCATGGGACTCCCATGAGATACCATAGGGGTTCAGTAAAAGAGAAGACGGCAGTGCATCTTGGAAGATGTAGTTTGGAACAGGGAGCCAGTCCTACTGGGAAGAATGAGACCACCATCTGAACTACAGCTTCCTTGAGCCTTTGTAGCAGCTCAGATAGATGCAGTTTAAATGTCAAACTGACCTGAGAGAAAACATTTCAGTTCAGTTTGAGAAACTGAAGACATTGATTTTGGAAGTCTTAAACAAAAACAATATTTTGTTTAGATTTTCCCAATGGAAAATTTTGATTTTGCAAAAACTACATTTCCTATTGAAAAAATGTCCTACCCCTAATGGCCCCCTCAACTGTGATGGGAATCACCACCAAAGAACGAATCAGAGAATCAAATATGTGTAAGTTCGAAAGCTTGGCTCACCAACAGAAGTTGGTCCAATAATAGATATTACCTCACCCAAACTTTGCAACAAGATAGTCCGAACTGGACCCGTTTTCAGGACTCTGGTGATCTTAGCTAAAAAAGGTTAAGGGTTCACTTGGTCAAAATTTATAAGTACCTCTGTGGGGAAATAAAATTTAGTAACAGGCTCTTCAATCTAGCAGGCAAAGGTCTAGCAAATCCAATCACTGGAAGTTGAAGCTAGATAAATTTGGACAGGAAATAAGGTGCAAATGTTTAACAGTGAATGCAACTAATTATTGGAACAACTTACCAAGGGTTGTGGTGGATTCTCCATCACTGGCAATTTTTAAGTCATGACTGGATACATTTCTAAAAGATATGCTTGAATTCAAATAGGAATTAATGCAGGGAAGTTCTCTGGTGTGTGATACACAGGAGGTCAGACTAAATGATCCCAGTGGTCCCTACAGGCCTTAAAATCTATTAATCTATTAACTCTTTTGGCTCTTTATTTGCTTAATTGTAAATAAATGAAGAACCATTGGCGTATCCCTCTAGACCAGGGATCGGCAACCTTTGGCACGCAGCTT